TCAGGGACCTGGGGCTGCTCAGTCTCTGCCCTGGGTTACAGCTTGGCTGCTCCACTCCAATCCTTGGGGAGTTTTTAAGGAGTAAATTGCTGTTCTTGCTTTTTTCTTTCATGCTTGGACCAGGGATGGCTTTGCAGGTGCAGATTCCTGCTTTTCTCCATCTGAGAGAATCATAGAGTGGTTTGGGGTGGAATGGAGCTGGAAGATGATCCCATTCCAACCCCTTTCCTTGGGCAGGGACATTTCCCACTATCCCAGGGTGTTCCAGAGCCTCCCCACCCTCCCAGGGAACAGTTCCTTCCCAATATCCCACCAAAATTTCCCCTCTTTCATCAACAAAGCTTTCCTGACCAATAAAACTGGATGCAAACAATTCCCTAAATAATTTCACATGGGGAACTTTGTCTTTTGATTTTGGGAAAAAAAAAATGCAAAACTCTTTGTGTAATTTTTATTTTTTTTGTCTTGTCTCTTAGGAGATCTGCTAGAAAAATTCATCAGGGATCTTTCTGTAGCCTATAACAAATACCTGACAGGAGAAAGGATCTGTGCCCCAGGGTATGAATGCTGCTGCCAGCCAAAGCTGCCCCCGGGGCAGTGCAGGCTCTGCAGCTCACGGAACATGGAGGTGGTGTACAAGTAAGTGACAGCAGCTTTGGGTTTGTCAGGGCACCTTTGATTTATTTAATGAGTTCTAATCAAAATTGTGGCAGCAAAAATAGAGTGGAGAGAACTTGTATGGTGAGCAGGATAAATTGCATTTGGCTGTGGTTTAAAATCCCTCTTCAGTGTGTCTGTAAATCTGTGCTGTGCAGGACACCTGAGGATCTCTGACTGTTACAGCCTGGGAAAGTGGGAACCCAGGGCCTGGGCTTTGGGGGGGATATTCTGAGGGAATCCTTCCCTGGCAGGGTGGGCAGCCCTGGCACAGATTCCCAGAGCAGCTGTGGCTGCCATGGATCCCTGGCAGTGCCCAAGGTCAGGTTGGACACTGGGGCTTGGGACAGTGGAAGGTGTTGGGGTTGGAATTTAAGGTTCCTTCCAACACAACCCATTCTGGGATTTTTTTACTATTTTCTTTCTTAGAATGAGTTTCACCTTTTCACTGGTATAACAAACCTTCCAAATAGCAAAGTGTTGGTGGTGCCAGCACCTCCTCAGAGTGCTGGAGATCTCTGAAGGCAGTGCTGGGCTCTGAGTGCTCTCAGGCTGTGGGATGGCCACAATTACTGCTTGTTTAGGAAATCCGTTTTACAGACCCTTGATCTTACAGGCCACTTGACTTTCTCAGGTATTCTGATGTTTTCGAGCTGGTAACAAGATTTTTAAATCAGGCAGACCAAGAAAGGCCCAAAGCTGCTGCTGTCATGCTGCTGGGAGCAGCTAAACAGATTGCCCTGCACAAAGACCCTGCTCTGTAAGTACCTGGCCCACAGAGAGTGGGGCATCTTCCTTCTTTCCTCCAGGGGAGGGGAATTAATGAGACAATCCTGGGGGTTTGTTTATTAGGAAAGTGGAAAAATCCCAGCCCAGGCTGCAGCACAGCAGGAGGAAGATGAACACACTGAGGGAGAAGAGAGATTTGGGAAAAAGAAAAGCTTGGATGTGAGAGGGAAAAGTTCAGCAGGAATGAGTTTGAGATCTCTGTCAAAAATCCCAGCCAAGGGAAAGGCAGATTTAATATTAAACAACAGAGTTGGTTGGCAAGATTTGCTGCAGTGCTTACAGGAGAGCTTAGGGCACAACAAAGGCAAACAAGCAACAACAAAGCCGAACATAATCCAGGCATTCAGCAAAGGAAACGAACCGGGAACCACCGAGGGCAGTGAGGGACAAAGGGAACACAAACATGAAAAGGAACTCGGCCTTGAAAGCTTAACAGCACTCCCACTTAACAGTACTTTAAATTATACCTAAGCTTAGCAGTTCAACAGAGAAACAGCACTGACACCTAACTTAAGCTTAGTTTAAAACTTAACCTTAACGATTTAAGGGGAATAACACTGTAACAGCATTTAACCTAACTTAGAACTCCGAAGTTAACACTTAGCAACTCAGCAAAACAGTTCTCAACAGCACAAGGAGCTTTGCTTTGTGAAACCTGAACATTTTGGGGTTTAAGTTCAGGGGTTTTGGTAGAAGAGAAGGAAATGATGTCTGGGTTGGTGTGAAAGAGCAGCTCCCTGCAGTTCCTGCTGAGGAGAAATGTAGATTTGCAAGGAGCAGGCTGCATTTGTTACCTGGGAATTTTTCACTGTTTTGCACTTCAGCACTTGTTTCAGTCTTTGCAGGAATTTTTTTCAGCATGCCAGCTTCCAAGATTTTTCCTTAAAAAGTGTTTTCCTCAAGAGTTGAGTGCAGAGAAGGGGAAAAGGCAGGAAGGGGAGGCAGGCTTTAATTGGGGTTGGTTTTTTCCAGGCTTAGGAGCTGTCAGAACCTTAGCCACACTGCTTCCCTGAGGATTGCTGTCCCATTTCTGTTCCAGAGGTGAGCTTGGTTTCTTTGCTGGTTTCAGGTGACAAATGCCCTGCTCAGAGGCACGTGGGAGGCCAGAGCAGGCTGTGGTTGTTGCACCAAGGAGAGGCCACAGCCTGGCAGGGTTCCCCTGGGCTGGAGCATGGAAAAGCTGCCCCAGAGGCTGGAGAATGAGGACACCCAGCTCCCCTGGCTTCATTCACTTCCCATTTTAGCTCTGTCCTTCACCTTTCCCCCCAAATTCACCTGCCACCAAGGCTGATCAGTGAGGAATTCAATTCTTGCCAACCCAGTTCTATATTCTCACCTTCACTGGAGCTAATGACAGGTACAACCCAAATCCTTGAGCAGTTCTCATTTTGAATTGCTATTCTTGATTTTTTTAATTTCTGACTTGGAACAAAAAAGGGAAGAGTTTGTCTTTACCTCTCTGCCAGAATTTTAGAGTAAACTCTTCTTTTTTATCTCCACTTCTCAAATACAGAAATGGTTCCAGGAGCAGGGAAGGTGCAGGAGCTCAGGCCCAGCACAGTTTGAAGTGTTTGCTGTACACATTCCTTGGAGATCTTTGTTTTAAAGCCTAAACCCCACAGAACCTTGTACAATAATAATTTCATTATTCACTACAAAACTTCAATCAGAAATTCACATTCAGATCCAAACAAAAAAAACCCCAAACTTGTGCAGTTTCCCATATGATTAAAAAAGACAATTTCTTAGCAACTCACCTCATTTTAAAACACCCTTTTTGAATTATTTTTCTTTTCAAATCACAGGATCATAACCCGACTTCAGAGGATGCTGGTGTTGTGTGACTTCCCAAAAATTCTGTTCAACAAGTTTGTTGAGTTTTTCCAGTCCATCTCCCTTCCCTGCCACTGCTATGCCTTCTCAAACAGGTGAGTCCTGGGTTCTCTGAGTGTGTTTGGATCCAGTGCAATGTTCTTTCCCTGATAATAAAAGTGGGAGCATTTTAGAGGAATATTTCAGTATTTGCTGCTTTCCCTGTTTGCTGTTTGATGCCATGACTGAGCTGTTCTCCCTAAAGTTTTATTTCCTTTCCCCCAGAACTGAGCTCTAAACCCCAAAATGTTTTATTAATCAAACTTCACAATCCTTAAAGCAGCTAATTAGTCATGTACAACAAAACACAGTTAAAAATTACCTTATTTTTATTTTTCCAGCTTGAATGTTTTGCCCTGGGACCACATGCTGCTGACCACAGTTTTAAAAGGCCAGAACATCACTGGGCAGAGGAGACAGAAAGGAAGGAAAACTCACCTGTGGGAGGCTCTCCCTGTTGTGGAGGCTCGAGTGGAGAAGCTGCTGGAGAAAAAGAAGTGAGATTGGTTTGGCTTTTCCACTTTGAAAATTCAATTCTTGTATTTTGACTGCTCCAAACCTCTGCACTTTGGTATAATGGGGAAACACAAAGCTGTACTTTGGTATGGGGAAACACAAAACAAACTCTTTGAAAAATTTTTTTTTTTTTCCTCACAACAAGGCCAGGAGCTTTTTGAAGTCACTCAAAGCCCTTTGAATGCCTCAGGACCAAGAAAAGATTGCTGGAGTGGCTCATTTCTGTGTCTCCATAAACCCTGCAGGTTTTACACGTTGATTTTCCAAGCAATTCCTCTTCATCAGAGGCTGACAAGTGGAAGGCAGCCAGAAGAGTGTTCTGGGTCTTCAGAAAATCCAATATTGCAAAGAATCCAGTCCACTTAAAGAATTCAGCTGCAAGGCAACCTCTGGTTTTATTTTGCCACAGCTGAGATAATCTGGGAGTAACCTGTAGGAATTTATTTCCAGCTGTGTTTGTGTCCTGCTGTGCTGTCCTGCGTGGGAAGCTCTCCTGGTTTGCTTCCTTCACTGTGTGCCCTGGGCACAGTTCTGCACTTGTTCCCCTTCCTTCTCACCTTCTGTTCTCCTCCCCAGGTACAAGGAAGTTGTTCGCTACCTGAGAGCTGTGAAATGCAATGAAAACCAAAGGTAAAGGGCTTTTCCTTTTCCTTTTCCCTGTCTTTTCCTCTTTTCTTTCTCCCTCTCTTTTCCCCTATTCCCTTCCCTTTTCCGCTTTTCCTTTTTCCACCCTTTCTTTTTCCCCTCTCTTTCCCCCCTTTTCTTTTCCCTCTCTTTTTCCCCACTTTTCCCTTCTTTTCTCTCCCTTTCCTTTTCCCCTCTCTTTTCCCCTTTTCCTTCCCCTCTTTTTCCCCCCTCTTCCCTTCTTTCCCCTCCCTTTTCCCTTCTTTTTCCTCCATTTCCTTTTCCCTTCTTTTTCCTCCCTTTTCCCCTCTCTTTTCCCCTTTTCCTTTTCCCTGTCTTTTCCTCTTTTCTTTTTCCCTCTCTTTTCCCCTATTCCCTTCCCTTTTCCGCTTTTCCTTTTTCCTCCCTTTCTTTTTCCCCTCTCTTTCCCCCCCTTTTCTTTCTCCTCTCTTTTCCCCCTCTTTGCTTTTCCCCTCTCTTTTTCCCCACTTTTCCCTTCTTTTTCCTCCCTTTGCTTTTCCCCTCTCTTTTCCTCCCTTTTCCCCTCTCTTTTCCCGTTTTCCTTTTCCCTGTCTTTTCCTCTTTTCTTTCTCCCTCTCTTTTCCCTATTCCCTTCCCTTTTCCACTTTTTCTTCCCTTTCTTTTTCCCCTCTCTTTCCCCCCCTTTTCTTTTCCCTCTCTTTTTCCCCACTTTTCCCTTCTTTTCTTTCCTTTTCCCCTCTCTTTTCCCCTTTTCCTTCCCCTCTCTTTCCCCCCCCTTCCCTTCTTTCCCCTCCCTTTCCTTTTCCCTTCTTTTTCCTCCGTTTCCTTTTCCCTTCTTTTTCCTCCATTTCCTTCCCTGCTTTTTCCTCCCTTTTCCCCCTCTGCAGTGGTGAAGCCCAACCAGATCTCTCCCCAAATCCCACCCAAACCCCCTCCTGATGAACCCCAAACCTTCATTTCCTCTTCCCAGGCTCCGAGACCTCCGGGATCTGATCCCGTTCTACCTGTGCAAAACTGGCAATTTCCTGGATGCTGCCCACTCGCTGCTGTTCCCTGTGAACAGCCTGGCCTGCTGCTCTGCCTGCAGGGTCACCCCCTGCCAGTTCAAGGTCTACCTCAAGATCTTCAAGACAGGCTGTGTTCCCTCTGGGAATGACATGCTGGAGACAGGGCCCTGGGTTAC